AATTCGAGATTGCTCAAATTAGAGACACGGGCGGGTGGACAAACTTGTACAAGTAAAGAGCTCCATCGGTGAGGATCTCCAATTCGTCAGGAATTTAAGGACTAATTTTTTTTATTTTAACTCATGCATTGTACAAAAGCCGCTGTCCCTTTCGCGCCTTACATTGCATACAAAACGCACGCACAAAAACCCGATTACCCGACTCCATTCTCTCGAATGTAGACTAGCCGCCAGACAAAAACCCCACCAAACCCATTGACTTTCAACACCTCCACCAAAATCAAAACACACACAAGAGGCTTTCTTTCCTAAACAGGTCACTCTCCCACCAAAATGAAAAACAAAAACCTTTCTCTCTCCTTTCTTTCCTAAACAGGTCACTCTCTCCCATCAAAATCAAAAACAAAAACCTTTCTCTCTCCCCTCAAAATCAACAGCTTGTGTTATGAATGGGGAAACAAATAAGAAGAAAGTCTTTGTATCAAACACTCATCAAGTTAACGTGGAATACTGCAGTTTACTATGTTTGGATGGAAAGGAACAGGAGAATTCACCAACATGTCTACAAGACAACAGATGTAGTGTGTGAAGAGATTTGTTTTGACATGAGACACAAAATTTTGGAAAATGCTAGGCCTTTTTCCTCTATTTTAAGTGCATCAATTGCTTTAAAATGGGGTTTTTGAGATTGTTGTATAGAGCTGAGTTTTTTGTTTTGTAGCAGCAACAAGTTGCTGCTGAATTTCTTGTACATATAATTTCATGAATAAATATAATTTTCACATTTTATCCAAAAAAAAAAAAGCAAAAACAAAAACCTTTCTCTCTCCCATTAAAAACAAAAACACCCAACGCCCACCTTTTCTCCCATTAAAAACAAAAACACTCTCCCATCAAAATAAATATAAAAAAAAAAAACACTTCTCTCTCCCATCAGATACAAAAACACCCAACACCTAGACCTGACAAACAGGCGGGTTGGGTCGAATTAGGGTCGGATCAAAATGGGTTGTGTTAAAACGAGTCACAGGTCAATGAAAGCAAACCCTAACCCACCCACCACGAGTCATGGGTCAACCCACGGGTTAACCCAATTAAATTTTTTTTTCTCTATAATTTGTACCTATTATTATTTAAAGAAAATTATTCAAAAGATTTTAAAAAAAAATTCAACATCATATAAAAAGAATTTTTTTTCCATTAATTAAATGTATACATATTTATAGTTTTTTAGAATCATCTTCTCCACCTC